GCTTATTTTAACCATTAAAACATAATTCATCAATTTAAAATAATCAGTCGATTAGTACATCAAACTATAATATCATCTGTTTAATTATTCATTTATTTGATTGATTGAAATATTTTATTGTGGCCGCGTCCAGTTCATTGTTTTCGTTTTTTTTTTGTAGATTTTTGTTTGTACCAATGCTTTGGTAAAAATGTTCGTGAATACAACAAATTTTAATCTATTCTATTGCTTAATAATATAAGTCTTTGTTAGCTTCGATGACCGATACAGAGAACAGTACGCACTCAATTAAATGATGTGTTTACTGTTTTTATTATTATTTTTTGTGCCTGCGCCCAAGCTATTTTCTAAACCGCTGAACCGACTTCATTGAGGTTATAGCGGTCATTTTAAGAGGTCGCGCAGCTCTGTAGCTTGTACCGTTTAAAAAATACAGATATTTGAAACCGACTTATTCTTTTGTAATCACCCGGTATTTAATCAATGACGGTACTTTTCTAGACAGCGTATTTAAAGTTTAAACGGTAACGTTTCGCAGCGAGACCAACAACATGACGATTGACGGACACGAACGGGAAACGTTTTGCCGCCGCGTAGTCACTGATAAGTGATAATGAAATATTGATTGTAAAATAAAATATACGCATCAGATATGAGATATCAATACATTTTGTAGATATTAGAACATTTTGTAAGATTTATATATTTAACACAAACATTTAAGTTGAGCAACTTTATAAATATAGGTAAGACTAAATAGCAACCCGTCCCATGCGTTCCCCTTTAAAAAAGAAGTAGGGGTACGCTAGAATATCCAAAAAATTAGTTGAGGTACCCAGTCCCCCTGCGTCCCCCCCCCAAGTCAAGCACTGGTTCTAAGGCTTAAGTTAAAGGTAGGTACTGAAGTTAGATCTAGTGAGTCTATACATATGAGTTTTCCCAAAAACTTGTAGTCAAACCTTATTTTTTATTATGTAATTATTCTCCCCGTCCCCCCAAAAAAAGGGAAAATTACTCTCTGGCCGAATTCGATTTTTAGGTTGCTGTGTGAGAATGAACCAACTGTCATCAGGCATCTAAAAAATTGTTTCATTATATTGTTAAGGGTATTGAAAGCAGACGATTTTTAAGGGGTTTTATATAGGCAATATTTAAGAACAAAAGCGTATGGTATATAAAAGTCCTATGCAGATTAACTGCGCATGAACAAACTACTGAAAATGCATGATTTTATTAAATAAAAACAAGAATACCTACACACATTTTACAAACAACTTTTATAGAGCTTTGTTTGAGATTTCCTTGTCAAAAAATATTATAAGCAACTACAACTAAAACTGCTTAGAAGGCAATATCGTATTTGTTCAAGGCCGGTTAAAATGTCGAATATACCGGTTAAATATCTTTATTGAGTAGCACTAGAGATAAAATAGGGGAAGAGAAAATATTGAGGATTTATAAAATACAATGTGAAGAATGTTATAAATTCTATGTAGTATGTAGGTCAGACAAAACGAAATATTTGGGTTAGGTTATAAGAACATAACAAATCTCATGTGCGGAACATTAATTTATTGGATTGGTACTAATCATAGCATAAAAAAACAGTAAAAATGTAAATCATTTGAAACTTAATATTAAAAAGGCAATAGAAGTATTTAAAAATACGAACGATTTGTTAAACTTAATCTAGGTAGGACTTAAGTCCATTACAATAAAATTTTCTAACATTTTTAAAAATGCATGTTAAGGACGAATTATTATCTTAATTACCTTAATCGGTCTCGGTTCTGTTGTGAGCGCTATTCATCTTAATAATAAAAAAAATACGTTATATTATATTTAATTTATTTAATTACAATAAATTATACTTTTTTAATTACAATCTGTGTCCACTGTCCAATATAGCCCAGTAATGAGGTAAACACATTCTTTTTGCAGAATTGAAATTGGACCACCCATTATATACAATATTATCACAGTGAAAGCACTTTTTATCAACAGAATAATTGCTGTTACTCAAAAGAAAAAATTGGCTACGTTAAAAATAATACCCTGAAAGTCATACAAATTAACTTGAAAATAAATTAACATGTTCGAAATTTAGAAAACAACTTTTTATCTTAAATATTGGCAATATAAAACTCCTTAAAAACCAACATTAGAAAGCAGCCTATGTTATTGTATACTAATAATTATATTATAACTATGTTATTATAAACGATTTTCATTTAGGTATCGATTGAAAATGTATAATCACCATCCAGTACAACTTGGTCCCCAAGTGTCTCAACTCTCAAGTATCTTTAAGGTAGACTAGGGTAAGTTGGGGGCTTAAAAGTCTTACTTTCCACTGAATTAATTTCTGGTACTTTATGAATAATACCAATAGCTATTATATACACAAGAACGTATACAAAGTAAAAACGGTCTATTGTGTTGCGTTGTGGTCAAAGGCGGGATAATAAAAATAATTTTGTTTCTACGCGTGCATTTTTGTTACAGTTAAAAAATCATTGCGACGAGGTTTTCCTATATAATTATACGGTCCATTAAATAACAATTTCGTGATCGCAGTCATTGACCATTACTGACCATTTTTAACTTCTCGCATTGTCCGGTATATGTTTATGAACAATAATGCGACAGAATAATATATCTAGCGGGCTAATAATTAGTATAATTGGTATTTTGCGTTTTTATTGTTTTAAATTAGTCTACAGTTCCGTCCAAACACCGCCAGCGTTGTACCATTATTTTACACAATGCTACTCAGCTGTTCACACATATTTTGTCCGCTATGTGTGTTAGGCTAGAATAATATTATACATACCTACTGTCGAAATTACCTAACCCAAACATCCTGTTGGCGGTCGAAAGCAAGGTAAATCAAAGTGCTCGCAAAATAACACATAAGACAACACAGCTCGACCGTCAGTGATAATTTCAATTGTCAATACAGTGTGCATCTAGAGGAGTTACAATAGAACCGATTATAAGAATGATTAGCAATAGTCAAAACAATAAGAAACAATAGAGACTTTACTACTTTCCATTATTTAGTAATCTGTCATTTTTATTTAGTATAATTTTGTATGGTGAAAATGAATGGTCTGTAATGAAGGGATTTTTTTTTTTTTATTGTAAATGTATTTTTGTATATTATTTTTTTCCTAACTTCTTTTCGATCGATTTAAAGAGGACCAACCCATCATTTTTAGCGTGAAAACAGAGTTTGCGCGATTATCCGTAAAGGTTATGATAACACTAATTTTTTTATAAACATAAAAGAAAATATTATCTATGCTTAAGCGTGAATTGATTGATTACTTTTTTTTTAAATTAAGCTTTTTTCATATTCAACTATTAGAATGAGTAATCGAAAATTTTAAAATGATTCAACTCAGATAAGGTTTTTCTAAATTTATTTTGAAAGTTTTATGATTTAATAACAATTTTAAGACGCTAAAATTTTGATTCGCGCAAAACTATTTTGATAGAAAGCAATTATTATTATTCATTTATTTTTTAAACAGTCTAATTACTTTACAATGTATGGTTTATTTTTTAGTTATATAGTACTATCTTACTACCACTACTTATATAGTGAAAACTATGTAATATCATTTATCGAAAGGAACTTTTCGTTTATTTCGCAGATTTATACGGTTAAAAATACTAAAGTAATTATTATAAAACTCTATAATAATTCATTCATTCATTTTATTGTATTATTGTAATTATTACTGAAAAATTATTTTTGTAAAATTTTAAATATATTGACATATTTTCATATTTTATTTTTTTCAGGCTAGATATAGGTTCAAAATTAAACTTCTATATAATGAAAATAATTGTCTTAATTATCGAGAGTTCAACCAATGTCGAATTAGAACCTGAAGATTGAATTCTTAGTAGAAGCGTCCGTATTATAGTATCCAGGGCTAAATAAATTTGTTCGGTGTAAACATATAGTTCAAATATTTGCATTTTGAAGTCTAATGATTATCTATTATAAACATGTTTCAAAATACTGCTGTGTGAGCAAAATTTATGGTAAAAAGCATACAAGATGAAATTAAAAAATAGTCATTAGTAACACTTATTTTTCGTTGAATAACTGGATAAGTATTGAGTATATACTCAATGGTATTAGATTAAACTAAAATGTTTCATATCTTGGTGCTAGGCCACTATTTTAAAATGTCTGCAGAACTTTAATCTTAAGTTAATTTATTACAATTCATCCATAGCTTTATTATCATAATCAAATATGGCACATAGTCAGCATTTCTAATAAAGGGTTTAAATTAAAATTAAGAACAATTAATACAATAAAGAAAGACTAATTCAAATATAAAAATATAATTTTAACTTAATATGAAGTTTGTTGGATATATTGCTCAATAGTAGGTCATAAGTGATGCCACGCATTTAAGGATATTTTTTCTATCACATTATAACTCAAAATTTACAATTGTACCAAACTACATGATTAAATGAAAGTAAATATTTTTAAGTTATTGCGATTTATGTAATATCATATTGAGTTTCCCATTTTTTAAACAGGCTTTTGGAAAATAGTTGTGTTTATTTAGAAAACCAGCTTGAATTAACAAGGTGGATTGAAATTTTTGCACTTCCGATTACAAACGTTCAATTAAAAATTTAACCATACAATCGTATTACTTTCTAAAACTAAAATGAAATTAACTTCTATAAGATATACAAAATCTCTATAGTATTTTAATTGCACTGATAAATTATCAACTGTACTTGTGTAAATAAAGATATCATATTTTTATTTCAGTTTTATCTTAAATTTGATTAAACAAATATATTTTTAGACTAGCATAGCTCATTATATATAAAGCATTATAAAATCGAAGTAGTATGAAACAATACTAATAGTTAATAGACTTCTGAATATAACTTATAAGTAGGAAAAATATATGTAAAAAAACGTCTACAATAGAATGTAATTAAATGTAGAAATTAAATTACTTGTATAACCATGAGAATCTATTTTTTAACACAAAAGAATTAATTTCTTAAGTTTAAAAAATAATATTATCACAATCTTCTTTAGTCATGCATGTATTTACAAATATAAATATGCCTAATAACTAACATAGTTTGTCTCATATAGTTTTAACTAAATTGTTCACATTTTTGGCACATTAAGCTTAACATTTTTATAACTAAAACATAGTAATGTTTGAATACCAAGGTAAATTTACAGATATTAGAATAAATATATACATCAAATAGATGAGAATTATTGTTTTGTTAATAAAAATAAATCGGGACTTATATCTTGGCTGAAATCATATGTAAATACATTAGCCCCGATATAACCAGCATGATCTTTAATTCCTTTAAAGTAAATTCCTACTCCAGAAAGTGGAGTAGCGGGATATGGTGCAACGGTTTGTTTGTCAATAAATGGCAATGTGGTTTGTGCAACATCACGATCCATAGAAGAATGTGTAAACATAAGAAACTTGTTTGACGATACATCTGGTTCAGATGCAGTCTTCGCTTTTGTAGGCAAGTCAGAATTACTTATGTCAATTTCAGTACTGTTCAAATAATAAATAAACACATTATTTACTGTTTATGTAAAAAGTCTCAAGACGACATACCGTCCAGTTGGAGACAATTCTGTATTTTCATTTCCAATCCAATAACTTTTTTCAATAGGTTCTGTCAATTTACCGGTGGCAAAATCAAAAGGAGTAACACGCGTCTCAATGTTTAAATGAGGTCCAATCATTCTAAACTTAACACCTAGAAAAAGTATTACATTATTAACATTGATTGAAGAATATATTAACAAATTAATCAAGTATGCAATAAGTAAAGAATATTATAAATTTTAAGTTATTTAAGATATAATAGTTTAAACTTAAATTCTAGATTTTTTGTCAAACGCTGCTTCTAATAAATATAACAATTTAAATAAGAAGCATTAGTTTTGTTTAAATTGTAAGTTGTTTTTCTAATTTAACCTATTTTCTAACATAAAACAACTAAACTATAATTAAAAATATTAGTTAATTTACCTGTGACAACCATATTTTTTGGTGCCATCACATTGTCTAGGTCGATAGCGCGAGAGGTATATGATAAGGTATGATAGTCTACGCCGTCACGAAGAGTTACGTTCTGATAAGTAAATCCAGGAACAGGTAAATCGACCCAACGTCTCGTTGACTCGTTTATAGAACCACGAGGCCCGAGGACACCTTCTTCTACTTGTAAATGGAACATTTGTTTTACCTTGTTGAACCTCACGCCAGTTACAACTCTTTATTGAAAAATCATAATTGACATGAAAAATAGGTTTTAATTTTTTTGTATTTTATTTATTATATTTTTACTTGTTTTGAGAAATGTCAGATAATGAAGGCCTTAGACTGAAATACCGATCGGATGCAGTATCAGACGAATCGCAAATGCAAAAGCAATAAGAACAGTGCCACATTAAATATCTCCACCAACTGTCTACTTTACTTGTTGCACCTTTGCATCCTACAGAGTTGTCACCCAATACTCTGCCATTCGCATATTCAATATAGTCATAACGTCTAGTACTTCCAAATGGCTAAACGAATAAGTAAGTTAAGATTACATAACAATTAGACAACAACAAAAATATTCAACATACTGCTTGACAAACTCGCATGTCGGAATCAATAAACTGACAGTTCAATATGCGTCCATGACAAGCGTGCTGTTTAGCACAAAATTGATCTTTGAAACATGATCTATGTTCGGCGACGTCATAGTAAGCACAGTTTTGAAAACAGTTCTGTTCAAAATTCATATCTACTTCATTTTCGAGAAATCCCTGAAACATGGAAATAAAGTTATAAATGATCTTAGTAAAAATAGCAACTGAGAAAGCTTCAATGAGTCATTTAATACCTGCAACAGTTGTGTTACTTCATAGTAAGTTTCACCTCTGACGTGCTTTGATGGGTCACATCTCCAATACATGTTACTCGCAGATCCCATTGATTTTTTCAATACACTTATTTGCTTATGAATTCTATCTTCAAACTGGTCCATTTGCTTTTGCCGTTCGTACGAGAAGTTTCCTAAAAAAATAATAATTAAATAACATAATAATGTTTATAAAAGCAAGTACAGTGGGTTTTGGGCATAGTGGGAATGGCGAGGTCACAGGTCTACAGGAATTATTATAACTGAAAGTGATAAAATCACTTTTAAATAGAAGCTTTGATGCGAATCTAAGGATCAACATTATAGCACCATTGAAATGACTACGGTCAAAGTGTAATTTTCCCCAATTTTTTGGGTTTTTCCTTAGTACAAAAAATTATTTGATAACAGATTTTTTTAAAAAAATTGTCTATGTTATAGCCTTATTCTAGATCTACCTTTGGTCTAATTTTCATACATAAACCCCTAAAGCTTAGCATGAAAAACCGAAAGAAAGAAAAAAATTCCACCCCTTCTAGGAGGAAGGGTGTACGATAATCGTTTAAGTTGTCAATGTCTGTCGGTAGTACTATGTCTAAAGAATATTCTACACAAATTTAGAACTAATTGGACTATTTTGAAAAAAGATATGGAGCGCCGTAGTTTTAAGATGAAAGTAATGTAAATTTTTTAGGTGTTTTTCTCAATATTTAAGGGGAAGGGATGACCTTTTTAAATTTTTAGTCTAACAAAGTACCTTGCAGGTACGATTTCTGATCTTAAGAGTTGCTACAAGAAGAAATCGGTTCAGTGGCTTAAAAGATATTGTGGGTACAGACACAAAAATAAAAATAAAATAAAAATACATTATTATACAATACCTTCTCAGCTATCGCATCGAAGCTAAAAAATTACAACAATAAGATGTGTTAAAACATACTATTTTTTTAAAAACATTGTTTTGTAATTATAATTTGCTTTAACAAACGACCAAATAAAATTTAACAAAAACAAAAGATAACGTGTTAGAAATTTAAAAAATTGTACTTTTTTTTATATATATTGAACATTTATTACCTTTGCCATAAGTTTGCAACAACATCCACGAAAACTGCATAACAGAAAATCCTTTTAACTGTGTTAGATGTAATGTCATGTATAAATTGAATATGAGTTGTTGGAGAGATTGCTTTTTGTCACAAAGCATATCACTATTTTCCTGTAAGACGATGAGAGTTAATAATGGTGTTTTAGTTTATTAAAAAATGTATCACTTAAATATATATTATGTTAAAATGTGTATTTTTATTAGAAGAATTTTGTATCACGTTACAATTACAATATAGAAGAACACTGAAATATAAGTTGTAACTATGTAGGTGTTTAGAGGGGGTTTAAACTGTATCTTGACCTTGAAATATTTGGGAGGGAAGGGGTTGAAAAAATCGATACTAGCACTCAAGATCACTTGGCTACCAAAAAAAGAACATGTATTTTTCTTTTCAATCATTAAAAAAAAAATTAACAATTTTTATTATAAAATAGCCGTAATTTAACGTGAAAAGACAAGTTAGACTACTAAAACAAAATCATTGTTCCATCTGCTTTTATAGTCTAAAATATTTGCACAGCCCTGAAACGTACTTTTGGAGTACTGTAAAGTTAACAATGAAAAAGGGGTGCCTACTTAGGATGTTAGAATTGTGGCAATGACATTTGAGAGGACAAGAATTAATACTAAAAAAAATTCCACGGCTAGCAAATAGAAAAAAAAGTTTTAATTTTAATGTTTTACATTATTTATCTATACACTATATTTTATTTATCTACTAGAAGACATTTGTGAGTTAACACTTATTTAAGCTACCACAATAACAAGCGATCTAAACGTGTTCATTCATATTATAACTCTTTTATTGTTAGCTTTATAATTAACAATTCTATTGTAACAACTCGAACTGTAACAAGTCCAAATGAATGCTAGCTTAAATTCTAAATGCCTAAAGTATTGAACAAGTCCATAAAAAACTGATTTTATAATAATTTGCGTTTTTCTTTCGTAAAGACATACAAGTCTTAGTAAGAATATCAAGTAAACCAATTATAATAATTAATTTATAATAATATATTTACTTTTGACATTGGTATCTGTTTATTTAAAGCATATTCGTCATTCGTGTAATTAATATATATTTTTTTAATAGACCACATATTTTTTCGTGATACGTTATACATACACTATAAAAACAATAGATTTAATTGAATTTTTACTGACAAAATGATAAATAAAACATTATGGCATCAGTCATTTCCGACTGTAATATAATTTATTGATAAATAATAATACTCTAATAGTAAAATATAATATTCGATTTTTTCCGATATCCTTAAGTACTTCCAAATTAAAAAGAAAATTATATGTAATTATTAAATAATAACATGTGTATATGCACGTAACTACTATGTGTCTTGGCTAAACAGAACTATATAATCTGTTTTAACAGAAACCAATAATGCCGTTTACTACTTATAATACCTACTAAAACTTGTAATTGATACATAGACAAATATATTTTCAATATAACTTCGTTGTAAACCATTCTTGTTTAAGGCCCCTGGATACCGACCATTTTTAAGGAGTTTTGTATAGGCAATATTTAAGAAAAAAAGGGGTTTTAATAAATTTCGAAAATGTCAATTATTTACCGGTTAATTTGTATAGGCTTCATGGTATTATTTTTAATTTAAATCATTTTGTCTATAAGTAAAAGCTATTTTAGTTAATATAATAGTACATTTTTTGTCCATCGCACAGGCTAAACCAGTGATCCGATAAGTAATCTGAAAACAGATATGAATTTTTCATGAAGTTTACTTGAGATCGGTCAGCGTACTTTTTTGATATCTTATTCCTACTACGCAAAAAACACATTTCAACATTTCATAAAATTTCAAATTGTAAAATAAAATTTGGAAAGGGGTAAAATTAAAATTAAAAAAAAATACTTTGACCGATCTCAAGTAAACTTCATGACGAATTCATATCTATTTTTAGATTGCTTATCGGATCGTTGGTTTGGCCTGTGCGATGGACAAAAAATGATGTATTTTGGCTGAAAAAAAACGGTCGTTATCCAGGGGCCTTAACCGTGGACTAAATAATTATTTGTTATTTAATACGACTTTTTTCATGAAAAATATTGACACAGGATCTGCTTAAAGTCTGAGTTTTATTTATATATTTCTTCGAATTTATTAGCTTACAGAACGACATACGAATATTTTAACCAATGAAATAAGTATAGATGTAGAATGTAAACTATAGACAATTCTGTAAATTCGTTGCTGTTATGACATGACTATATAGTTCATTACATGAATGCTAAGACATATAGTTTTTAATCGAGATTGAACAATTGTTGTAGACAATGCTCATTTAACTCAATTTTAATTTTTAGCAGTTATAATAGAACAAAAACAAGTACCATAAACAGCTGATATTTCACTAACACGTGTTTGTTGATATACCTAGGTATTTTTTGTTTTTTTAAATAATCAACTTAAATAGAAATATTGTGCTTTCTTTAATTCTCAAATTAGACGAAAAAATGTCACACTATAACATGTGTAATTGAAAACCCCGTAGCTTCCCTAAGACAAATTATCTATGGAAACCCTTTCCGAGAAAAGATGAAATCAAAGACATGAGAGAGATCCTTTTTTTTTATAGAGATTTCCAAAGAACGCAGGACTTTTCAACTCACGTGGTTATTAAACTGAGCGTGACATAGGCGTGATAAACTAAGTGTAATAGGACTTCGGTGAGAGGGTGCCCACAATGACCTATAGGTCTGAGTGCTTGGGCACTTCCTGAGCCCACCATTATATATGCATTTATTAAGCGCATATATAAGGTAGGCGAAGATGACGGATTATGACGGTAATGCCTCGATTATTATTATGATACCGATTTTTCAGAGATGGAGTAAAATATACACTTCCAAAAAGTATACAATTGAATACAAATTGAAATCGCAAAACTCTACTGGTCACAAATTTCGGGATGACTCTTAGCCTAATGATGTATCCATGTTAAAATTAAGTAACGAGTCGGTTACAATAAAAAAGATAGGCCAGTGTATTGCTAAGTACGTTTTACTTTTTACACAACGAAATGATTTAATAGTGTGGTAGCTGGTGGTGTACAGTCATCGCTTTTCCGTCATAAGGGTCAATAAAAATATTATACAATTTGTAGTTTCCTGTTTGATCTTATAAACAAGCATATTATAACACTTAAATATACACATGACAACAATATGCTTTGTAGTTGACAAACACGCGCTTCGTATATGACAAGGACGTTGATATTATTATTATATCATTGTTATGTTCGTTCGTGGGGAGTTACTATGGGGAATTGGCAATTGTCATTATCGTTACAAGACTACAATAATAATATGGTTTAAAATAAAATATTAGTATAAGGCAACATGGGGGGAGGTGATAAAAAAACTATTCAACACCGTGCAATAAGATAATAATGTAATAGTGACTCCATACAAATGTCGACTAGCACACCATAATATAAGTATGTGGTCACCTTAGGAAATATCATTTTTTCGGCTACAAGACTGAAAAAAATAACAGTTTATTTAATGGATTTTCGATATTCATTCCTACATGGAATCATATTACCATATTATATTATTGCATCACAGAAAGGGATTATTGTAAATATTTCACAATTTATTTGTTAGGGAAGAAATTTGAAAAAAAATATTGTTTAATACAAAACGGAGGACAAGACAAGTGACGAGGTTCAAAACTAATAACTAATAAGCAATAAATTTTGAATCCAAAAATTAAAGAACAAAAACCCAGGCTCAATTGCTACATTAATAGGTTATTAATTAATCTATAAGAGCGATATCTATGGACTTAACCGCAAATCTGAGCCCACCAGTGAATTCCTTATCAAATTTAAAATAAGAAAGTGTTACCAATATACTGCCCAGTGCTCTACTAAGCAAAAGTGCTGTAACTTTAAAAAACGAGTTAATTACAGAAAATATGTACAATCGGTTTTTTTATAAAAAATAATTGTTGCTCTATACTTTTACTTAGCAAGGCAGTATAGGAGACCAGAGAATAATGATGCTTTGATGAAGTCTTCATAATATAGTTAACAATAAATACAACTGTTATACATTATACAATGGTAACATTTAAGTAAATTAAACAGGTAAAACAATTGTGGTTTAGATAAAGAGCTGTAAACAAAGGTTGCAACTTGCGTTCACACTTCGCTATCTTGTATTTTTTTCAAACTGTCATAAAAACAATTAAAAAACCTAACAAATCCATTATAATTCATTATGTTTACTACAGTTAAAAAAATTAATGTAGTAAGTTAGATATACATTACAATTCAATATTAATTTCAACAACAAATATAATTGTTTTTAAAAGTCTGGTTTACAATCACATATTTTAAAAATATTGATTTTAAGATAACAGCTGTTTTTTATTACAATTTACAATAACAACAAATTTTTTCTAAAATTGTTATGTGTCATCAAGTAAGTGATCTAATACAAATCAATAATGTTACTATGAAAACTAACATAAAACAAAACTGTCGAGTAAACAAGGTAAAAAGTAAAAATGGATAGAAAGAAAAAAAAAAGAGGTCAAACCGTGTAATTACATCTATTGTGAAAGCAAATTACTCACAACCAATATTTTTTTATGATTATGATTTCAAAATAAATTTGATCAAAATATATTTTCATTTCACCTAACTCTTTCTAACAATTACTGAACATTGTTCAAAACAATTGATGAATTAAAATTTGAATAACTTAAAAATACAATTACGAGTATATGCACAGCTCACTAACATTATACTATATTAGTAACTGAACAAAGTTTTTTGTTCAGTTACTCAGTACAATCATTATAATAAATATTTTAATTAATATTGTCAATTTGATGTTGCTTATGCAATAATTCCAATTGACGATTCTGGCCCTTATAAAGTGATATCAATATCTATGTTGGATCAATCATTTCTTGATAATAAATTGAAAAAAAGAAATTTCTTAAAAATTTTGGTTGTGCCCAAAAAGGGCAAAAAGCCTTATACCCGTTATTTATAAAAGAACAATAGAATTCAATTGAAAATATAAGGTCTTCAACTCAATATTGAATAAAATAGTTATCATGTAACAGTAATGATTTTATAGGTAGGTGTTATACATCAATAATCATAAAAGATTTTGCACATAAGGAAGCTTTAATTTAAAACAGTATAAGGAAGGGAATGGAGGGCAACATGGATAATTAGTGTGAAAAATACCCTCCCTCCCAAAAAAATAGATTTAATAGATTTAAAATATAGTTAATATTCTTACGATTAAGAGGGCGTCACACACCCGTTATTTTCTTCAAAAAACCCGCCTTGCGCGGATTAATTTTACAAAGGCTGTAATCAAAACTAAGAAACCAAATTTTTACATAATATAGACAACAACATTGTCTGTGTTCTACCATCGCTCTTTTTTTAATATTTCAACCAGTTAATGAATAATAAATTAATTAAGAAAAGACTTTTTTAAAAATGATATAGCGTTGGTTGTATTAGGTATATCAAAAAAATACGGATGATGAAACACAGATAATTTTGTCATAAATAATATGTATGAGTTTCTTTCCTTAACTATATATGAAGCCTAAGTAAAATTAATTCACACAAAGCAGTTTTGAAGAGAAAAAATTGTAATTTATTCTATAGAAATGACTGTGATAGTCTGACAAAAAAAATGGCAATCAACAAAGTATCCTCATTACTGTATTAATAAGTATGCATTATAGTTCAAACTCTAAATTAAGACTTTTCGAAAAATTTCCTATACTTTACTCCTTAGAAATGGCTGGTGTGGCGTCGTCTTAATCTTTTTCTTTTAATTAAGGTATAATAATTATTTTGTAATGTAATGTAATTGTATGTAATGAGCAAACAAAAAACAGCAGCTTCAGGGACTCTGAACAGTATTTTCTGTCAATTTGTTACTAAATGTTATTCGAGTCCAATCACACGTACAATAGAAATTAAAAATTTTTTTTAATCTATCTTACTAACTTATCTAGTGATGTAATAAAGTACCTTTAAGAGGAATCTAACTCACTAAAATCTCTTCTGAACTGTATTTAAAAATTGAACAAAGATTTATACACTTCAACAAAAATGTAAAACAGTAAAAGTAATTATTTGTGAATTCAAATTATATATCAGTTTTTATAACATCACTAGAATTATCGTACATTAGTACAAAATTGGTTTAAACTATTAAATAGCATTAAAATATCTGTTTCCAATATTCTGAAATTCAATTAGCCTCCTGCAGAACGTGTGATGTGGTAAATAATATTATAATTAATGAAATTGAATTATTAAGTTTTTCAGTTTTTTTTTATTTAAAAAAAAAAGGATATGCAAGTTATTATAACATTTATAATTTATAACTTACCAAAGTTTCTGTTAATATATTGAAAATTCCTCCATATGTATGAAAGTTAAATCCTTCCCATTGTGGAACAATGAATGTGTGAATTTTTGACAACTGCTTGTGTGGAGCTCCTGGTGAGAAATCCAGCATGGCATCAGCAAACTTTTCTAATGTATAAGATGTATATGTTGGATTTACATTATTTTCTTTGGAATCATTGTCACCAGATCTATACTCTATATTTAAACATAAAAATAGGCTAAAACATTGGACAAAAAAGATCTGACTGCTACAATTTTAAATAAAATAAAAATTTTTTTAATATACTTATTATTGCTTATAAGCAAAAAAATTGACATTTATTAGAATTCAAACTAAAAAATTATTTTTTTCTTATGATACATATACAAAGATATATACCTAGTAAAGAAATGAATATTCATATCCTTAACCATTAAACTAATACACTCTATACATGTTTCGGCAACAATGCTGTCATCTTCAGCGCTAACGACAAAATTCTGTTCTGTTTGTCATTTTCACTTAAGATGACAGCATTGTTGCTGAAATATGTATACACATAGAGTATATTATTTTTAGTGTTAAAGGTTTTTCTAAAGCATAATCCTGAATCACTTCTTAGTTTTTAAGAAACTATTCAACTTATGTATATTGCCAATCTGTTGGTGTTAATCTACTGCTCACGTTTTTGCCGAGAACATAATATATTTTAAAGCAATGTTCTATGTTAATAACAATTACCATAACTAATTATCAATATTTTATCTGTGTTTATACAATTGTACAAAGCTGTAAATGAATATAAGTCTATCAAATGAACTAATTGGAGACAAATAAGAGAAGATTAATTTTTTATAATTTCATTAAAGACATGGTAGATAAAATACTAATTATCTACTCGATAAATATTAAACGTAAATTAAAAAGCTATTTTTTCATTTCATTATTTCACTCAAGTTATATACTAGGGGTAAAAAAAACCATAATAAGTAATGAACTGACTTAAATTAATAAACAAATCTTTTTGAATAATGTAATTTGAATTTGTGGAAAACAGAAATAGATATTAGTGATGTTCATTAATTATAATGAGATTTACCTGTATAAAGAGTCTGTATATGTGTTTTAAGTGTTTATGATATCAGAGTATAGTCTTTGGTTGATGGCCTATTACAATTAAAGAGCCTATACCATGTACACCTACACGATAGGTTCTCTAATTATAATAAACAAATAAATGAATAAATAGTGTACATACCTTCCATGGTTTTATAGTCATTTTCGATTGACCTCACAGACTCTAGGAGTTCGTTTACTTGGATGCCATTGAGCACTACATTAGGCATGTTCTGCAGCTTTTTGAGGCTACCCAACATCATGCTTCTAACGTCATCTGTGTCTTTTTGAGATGTCTTCATAAGTTGAGTGATTATCCCGAAATTGTGTAAGATCATGCGTTCTTTCTTCTTGGTGAACCACACAACAGGCGAGTTGTCATTGCCTACTCGCTCTTCCACCTTATCTGCTATTTCCCAAGTCTTCGTAACATATTCAACTACTTTGGCGGTCAACGAAAAAGCGTCGTCTGCGGTCTCCAAGTCGAAACCACTGGTCAACGTCAAAGCCGTACAGGCGATGACGATACATTTGAAAAGTAGCATTTTAATATAGTAACGTTATCCTATCCTCCGAGCAGTGTACTAGAATGTTGGCCGTGACAATGTGAGTTGCATTAGACAGTAGCCAGTGCCAGGAACTTCGCAACACTAAGCGCACGGTTTCTGTGTGGATTGTAGACGACAAAAAAAAACGTGGGAAACGCTGGTGTAATGAAAAAACAATATATGTAAATTCAGCAACCTAGTGTAATATAGTAAACGATAAAGATTTACGCTGTATGGACGTTATTGTTATTTTTTTTATTATTATTATTATATTATTACTATTTAACAACAATTATTTGTCATCGGAGGACAGCGTATGAGCGGGCTAACAAATTAATGAACACTTTGTATTGTTAAAAAAAACTTATAGGTAAGCAATGTTTTTTTTTTTTAAATAACACAAAAAAACATACAAAAGATACGGACAAAAAAATAATTTAACCTAACAAAACCGTTGACCGCAGTCCACAAGCGTACACTAGGTACACTGAACACTCAGTGAACACAACTCACAAATCACAATCACAATAACGTTTAAACACCAAGTGCGCGTTCATTATTATCAGGAGAGGTGTAGGCTTTTTCACTAGAGATCCGGATCCTACAAAATAGCCAACCGTAGCCTACTGCGTTGCGACTGACCACGGCCGTGGGGATTTTCTTTTCAAATTTCCACCATAAATTATTATTTTACGTTTTAATATTGTTTTGTTTAGTCAAGCGTTCGGACAACGTTTGTTTCAGTACTGACTACTGGCGGCATCCGCCATCTAACGTGTAACCCGTGTACTACCTACATTGACAATAATATTATAAATAACGCAAAATCTAAGTGGCAAATGCTTTGATCGTTAAAAGTTAACTAAGGTTAAATGGAATTACATTTGTCTATTCACACAGTCAGGGTTGAAGTTCTGGAAAACCCAAACCAGCCTCCTGATTATTACTTTTTTCTTTACCAGACCTATCAAAAATGTTTATATTTTTAAAAATAAAATGTTTTAAAAAAGTACCTACTAACTAAAAGGGGTTTATGAGTATACTCATACATACTCATCCCGTTGTTGTACTATGATGAAAACATTTGTTTTGAGTGTCTATTCAAAATCTCCATCTTCATGTTCCACTTACTTAAAACATATTTATGATGACGACATTAAAAATTGGTGGTAAAATTCCGATGACCCCTTTGATTTTGTCGTAGAAAGCCTTTTGTATAAATATTTTAATAGACGGTAGAACAAGGCAATACCAGGGGTTTTATTTTTCCAGGACCCATTTCGAATTCAAACAAATCTAAAAATTTGGGGTAAAACACCACCAAAATATATAAAAGTGAATTTTGCAATTGATTTTTTTGGTAGAAAAAAAAAATAACATACTAATTTATTTAAATGGCCTGCGGATAATTTGTGAAAGATGAATTGATTAAATTTGTATTATTTAAAATTACACAAAAATCTCATTTAAGTGATTCATAAAGTAAAAAAGTTAGGAAATAGTAATAAACAATTTTTTAATTTTTTCTGACGCAATGATACGAAAATAAAAAAAGGCCATTGAACAAAACTATTATATTATAGTAATAGTTTACTGTATACTAACTTTCTAGTATCATTTTTTTTTGTATAATTCTAGAAGTATACATGGTTTTTCGTAAAAGTGATACTGGATAAGCATCATTTTACAGGGTTGCCATACTTTTTTAATTTAAACACAACACAATTTTAACAGTCGTGTTAATAGTTGATAATCCACACAATACATAATACATTTCCAGATAATACATGATTAGAAAAACACAATTATATATTTTCCTATACCAGCTGTTTTCTGTATAGCAACCCCCCACATTTCAAACCTGGCTATACCTCGACTCGATTGAGTGTCCCCGGTTAAATAATAAATATTAGTTGATCCAATGCCGTTATTTTTAGTATTGTTACAATATATTAGGTCCACTTTAACAAATTGTTTAAACCGTTTAACCGGATACTGGGTCCCGAAACGCAAAAATGTATAAACACACATTTTATTAAGAGGACAAAGAGGTGCTCAATACCTCTAGTAGCTTTATTATTCGTACAATACATATGCGTGTACTTTAAAGGAAAATATATACATTTATTATATATATATATATATATATATATATATATATGTATTATCTATACGTATAATTCTACGATATTAGCAGCTGTTGCTTTGTCAATCGCCAGTGGCCGCCGGACCAGTCGCGTGTGTGAGTGTGCAAAATGACGTCATCCGGTTATTAACATTTTCTAGGATTGGCTCAACGTGGCGTTCGGCGGTAAAAGGTATTATACTTTTATAGTGGACGTTAGTCGCTAAGGGGAAATGACGTCATCCGTGATCTACAATAAGTCTGGTATGCATCCATGTCGATCCTACTGGCTACCGTTTATTCAAATCAACATGGTCATTATGATTCATCCGAAAAGAGAAAGCCTATACAAACCGGCCGTATAAAGTGGCTAAAAAAAAAAAAATAAGTAATCGATAAAAATAAAAATATACGTCGCGAAAACGCATATTGAATATAGATGTATTTAATCTAAGGTTTTGGTCTTTAGACGTTTTAGATTAGGTACTATAAAGAACTTTTGACAGTTCTCACAAGCAACTAGGGTGCCATGTATATTAAATGTATTTTTTCTAACAATGTAAATTTATGTAATTGAAGATTAGGTCAGAATAACGCGCTAATGACCACTTTTCCGGTTTTATTTTTTGAAATAGTGTGCTTAAAAACTAATCTAAGCCTATTATAGAAATCATAACACTTCCAAGAATATTCTAATCGTGCAATAATCGTGGAAACCTCTGACGGGTAACAATTTGGGTTTTCTTTGATACTGTAAAGTTTACAGATTGGTTCTTAGGCCTTGGAAAATTATTCGGACCGAAAACGAACGTTCAATTAAAACGTAATACCGTTGATTTTACAATTTATGTATATTTTAAAATCAACGTTAATGCACACAAACAAAGTTTACTATGTCACCATAGACATTAAGAAATATCATTGCCGATATTTGGTTTTTCCAATGATACTTAATGGTCAACAGTCGCGGATGAAGGCCGTAGCATTACAGGTATATCCACTGTAGTTATAATACACATGTATTTATTATTGTTTTGTTTTAAATACATATATTATATATAACGTAATTATGGTTATGTCATAATAAATAATAATATTAACATCAGTTAGGATCTGTGCTACTAGGTTAAACATTTAGATGTCAGATGTGTTTTATCGTATTATAAAAAAAGATGATTCTATTTATTTAACATACAACAATTTTTAATCCATCGACAGAATAAATTTGAACAATGAAGACTAAAGAAGTCTTTTGTCTTCAAGTAAATCCTCTTTAGAGTCCATGGTTTAAACAAATACTATACATTACAATACCGGACAGTCAATGGTAAGAAATCGCAACAAAAGTATGCCCCCCCAAAATCATAGTGGTTGCCTATACATCTTAGACCGGGCGCTAACAAAATAGTAAATATTATGATAACACATTTTGATAATTATCAAATATAATTATACAAATTACAAACATATTACTAAATATTATGTCGATGATCAAATATTATACATTACACGTTATAAGTTATATTGGTGTCTATGATTTTGTGTTTTATAATTATTTTATAGTGTGTTTAAGAAATACATTTGTAATTTATTAACTGTACATACACTTTATTATAAATTCATTATTTTTTTTAACTTTTTGTTTTTACAGTCTTAAATTGTAGCTGATTATTACATTTTTTTATAAAAGAATGTATAGTGACATTTAATTTCTTATCTATAAATAAGAAATTACAGTTTATACAAATATTAGGAATTATAAGTATGTAACGATTAACTAACTCAATCATTTTAGTTTTAATGTTACACTTATTTTCTAATAATAAATTCTACCTTTAGAGTCCTTTATGAATATAGTCTTGAAATAATAATCCTTGTTCTAGTAAAGCTAAAGTCACTAATTTGTTTAGAAAGTTTTTTGCATTAGTTTTTTATTGACTAACTATCCCACTATTTTGTTCAAATTTTTTTGGTCGTTAAGTGCTAATGCGACCTATCTTTTTCTACGCTTAGTAGGTTTTAGTATTATTTTTAAGTTGTATATATATATAATGTATATCACTGTATATTATTTCTTTAAGCAAATGTGCCTGTTTTGAAAATAAAATAAATAAATCGTATAATTTTTTAATAATACTTTTAATTGTTTTAATACTTTTAATTTTCTTTTAATATAAGAACCAATAACAAATATATACATCATAACATGTAGAATAAGTTATAAAATATAATTTAAAATTATTTCTTCTTTTTTAATGTTTACTTTAGTTGGAATCTAAAAAAGTATACTGTGAACGCCTGATTATGTAGTTGTGGGCAACCACTACGATTTCGGGGGCTATGTCGCGATTTCTTATCATTGACTGTCCCGTATGGCATATTGTAATGTATAGTATTTGGTTTAAACTATGACATTTGATTGTAGTGTGCATTTATTAAACTGCAAACACAACAATAACTTGTATAAATAAAAATTAAATGCTGATCGTTGGTCAGCGCATCACTTGAGAACAACTGGACCGATTTGGCTCATTTTTTAATTTATTGTTCGTAATAGTCCGAATAAGGTTTTAGCGGAAAGAAAAATTGGAATAGTTTCCCGGAAAATTAAAAAATGTTCTCAGTAGCTTTATCAGTACCTATTATTGTAACATCAAAACTACTAAATGCAGTATGAGTCGTACTGTACTGTTAACTCAGTACTCACACTAGGTGATAACACCAACTAGAAATAACATCATTGAACAATTTTTTCTATAATATATAAAAATATGCTAACTTACTAAAAGTAAATTATAAGCAAAAAATAAAACAAACAAGATATTTGATAATATTATATTTTATTCATAATAATTAATTATGTAATTCATTAGTCCAAAATTGTTTTTGTTATTACTCGTGTTTTTATTATCTAACCTACATCTTGCAGCAATATTCTTAATATATTTAAACTTATTTCAGACTCAACACAGTTAATAAACTAATCCGTATTATATATCCCCTAAAATAGTTTTGTCGAACATACAATGCAGTATAAAGTAGAGAATAATAACATAAAAACTAAATTCTAGAAAAAAAAAATTAAAAACAATAAATATTTTTTACTTAATTACAAAACTCAACTATTATTTTAATTTTAATTTTATACCTATTAACAATAATAGTTCAAAACTAAATTAGTATCATTTTATGCATATAATACACAATACACAGCTATAATAATAAATTATATTATAATCAAAATTTAAGTTTTGCGTAAAACTTGATACCTACTACAAGTATTGTAATAATATTGTTTAGTGAAATCAACAATAACAACAATTAGGTACTTAGTATAAATAGTATTATTTAATTAGATATTTAGTACAATAAGTAAAATTGCTTTTGAAAATTTTCAAGAGCAATTTCTTTTAGCAAAAAACAGGCTATACATTAAACATTTTTATTTAATAAGCAAATTGTGTAGAAATAAAAAATAAGAGATAAACAGTGCATTATTAATTTTCTACGGACTTCAGTTACCGTAATTTTGCTATATTTTTATACAAACATTACATTATGATAAAGACTATATCGGTTTATGTTATTTTTTAACAGTTAATGTGAATAGTATTTTTGAAAATAATAAAAATAGAAATCATGAAAACTAATCAAAACGTAGTTACACACTAATAGTTGTTTACATTCAATTGTTTACAATTGTGTGAACCGAGGGCTTAAATAATCAATTTAAAAACTTACAAAATAAATAATTTAAATAAGGGATTGTTAAAAATAATTTATATTTACAATGTAATGTCATAATAAAGCTTATAATTGATCTATTCAAATATTACTCTACTAAATGATTAAGATCATAAGCTAGCGAGCGTTCAAATGAAGCTGTTCAACGATCAAGATGACAATGTTGTATAATACTTGTGTAACCTATTTATTAACAATTTATTTCTTTAACACAAAATAATAATATATTCCCTGTCCTCACCCCATTTTGTTCAATAGTAATAATAACGACTTTACATTTTAAATAAAAAGTACAACATAAGTACAGTGTTAATACTAATCAACTCGCAGTTACCTAGGTTACTAATTTGTTATATATTTGAGCGCATTTCTCTACAACTAAAAAATGCCACCTATTAGAAGAACACATTTTAAGGAGTAAAACATTGTTTAATATAGTATAACATTATAACTAATACACTAATACAATAACGATTTTGTCCGAATAAATGTAGTAATCGAAAACATATGTATAATTTTTGCTCATGATTTTATCATTATGGAAAGGGTTCATTTTAACGTTGAATATAATATAGCTTCAATATGTAAGAACATCAATCAATATTTCTCTGTATTAGATACTACATAATACATATTTTATCGAGATGCCGAAAAAGACACGAAAAGCCTTGGAGATTCGCTTGTATCTATACAAAACAGATTTCCGCGTCACTGGGATAATGTACGATTGCAGTAAACATACGACAAACTATTATTAAAAAACAATAATATTTAAAAGATAATTAACGTATGCTAAGGTACTCATTAAAGTATTAATGACAAAAGATAAAAAAAGGGACTACAAATGTCTGTAAAATCTGCAAGATAAATGAATAACGTGACAGAAATAGAATTTTTGTTAAAATGGTTATAGCATCACACATACCAGAATCATGTGTAATTTATATAGGCTTAAAGAGCGGCAGTTGGAGTAAGCAAACAAATTGGTAAAAAAATAATAACCATTGTGTGCTATTAGGTTTGATAGAATGCCTGATAATAGTTTGCTTTACAATATGATTAAAAATTGACCGGACACAGTACAAACGGACTAGAACTACTATTTTTACAAAACATAAAACGTAAAATAACAACAACAATAATAATAAAAATCAAAATTAATGTTAAAATGACAACCTACTATGTGTTTATGATATATATATATATATATATATATATATATATATATATATATATATATAAAATATGTATATAACATATCTAAAACCTAAACGCCAAATGTAGAGCAACAAAAAATATTTATACAAGAGCAAACTAACAATTATCAGTATTTTTAAGACGACGGATCAGTCGTGTCAGATTTGGAAGCAGCCGGCTTAACATTTGTTCCTAAAAGTGTAGTTTTTTCTTCGACTGATGCACCAGAGTTGCCCTGTGGGGTTCGTGAGTAAGCTACTGCTACTGGCTGAGTGACTTCGCCGTTGTTGAGTGATGTAGTTGTATTAGTCAAAACAGCTGTTGTAGCTGCTGCCGTCGATGCCTTGGAATAAAAAAAAAAAACAATTAATTAGACGTCTAATAGTTATTAGGTGGTAATGCTATTATTACCTAAAACAAATTTAAATACAAATTATTTTTTGTTTTTTATAGCTTTAGTTTTAAATTAATATGTAAATGACAACAAATATGTAATATATACTCTTTACTTTGTGTTGTGTACTATGAAACATGAAATGTAAATAATACGTAAAAACAAAATTTAAAATTAGTTGTTTATCTAAGTATTACAAACAATGGATTAAGAAAAATTACATATAAGATACAAATGGATAATGATGTGTACACAATAAAATAATAAGTTCCAAACGAAAATTGAATGTAGGCATTATTGACAATCTTAAGGAAAATTAACTATGCAGCATATAACATTTGATCTGGTCTTATACATAAAATGTATTTAAAAAATCTGTAGACATGGAATTTCTATAAAATAAAGAGCTGTAAAAAATTATCGATATGTACACAACTTATCAGTGAAACGATTTATACACACATCGAAGGGTTAATAGCAGTAAATTTTTTTTAAATCCATAATAAAGCATTAATAAATATTATATACAATAATAACCAAATAACCATTGCTATCGGTTATTTATTCTTGTTCACACTTCACATCAAACTTTTCTAAGACTTGATATTATTATTAGACTATTAATTACTCAGTTAACAATTCAATTTTCAAATAAGTTAGTAAACACTTTTTTTGGTTGTGATGTTATGCACTCGCACTCTGACTACCTCATATGAACAGCTCATTACTATTTCTTTTTGCATTATTCGATCGCCCTTCAGATTTGAGGGGGACAAGTGAGCTTTTACGATGATTTATCTGTGAAGAAAACATGGCGGTGTCGTTTAAATCTTATAATAATGATCTACACAACTTTGGAATTTTAAGAGTATGGTATCGATTTATTTTACAGGATACTTTTATTATTTTTTTTATCAAACAATTACAGCTATAATAATATAATAGTAATGCATATTGTACGCGTGGAAGTGACAATAGATTATAGTAGACATACTAATGTGGAATGTCTTAAAGCGTGCAATGGCTCAAAAAAACCAAATAGTATAATCCTATAAATACATGTTTATTCTCCCACTCACCGACAATAGATAAATTGTTAAAAATAATTGTTTTGTTAAATTATGTTTTTTTTTTTGTCTATAGATTAGTCTCTAGAAGTGTAGTTGTTTGAATTCTGGGCACATTCAACGACTTCACCTAGATACGAAGTGTGTAATCTGAGATGTTTGGCTGAAATGCGTTACTAGTTAATGCAATACTTATTACATAAACTATTTAATAACATTACAATTTTTAATTTTATTTAAATTTTTTAAAAAAAATGTTTATAATTTTGTTTAATAAAAAACATTTTACAGAGACTCTGCTAACAAAATATTTTTATGAGTTCTATAATAAAATGTTTTACCTGCGATACATTTCTTGGCATATCCGGAGAACCTTGAATACTTTTTCTGTCTTCGTCACCATAACTGTGGAATAACTAAAACAAAAACCATAACATATAATAGTAGTCAATAGTATAACATAAAATTAGTTATCAATCATGTTCTATTGTAAGTTAATTATTACCACTGACTAAAATAACTTACCTTGTCAACTTCTTCGTCAAATTCTCCTGCGTTGGACATCTTTTTAGATCGTTCCATGAGTGTGGCCCGTTTAGCTGCCATATAGAAAGAGCGCTTGACCTTCAAATACATCACTTCTGTAACTGCGCGCACTGTATAATCGGGAACAAATGTATAACGTAACATTGCATCAATGTTGACCGATTGTATGCTGCCAAGATTGTTTGAACTCAAATTGCCTGCAGTTGGATTGGTGCTAGCAGGTGGAGATTCACCTGAAAATTAGGGATGGCATCAACTCACTGCTGTATAAACAATATACCGTTGAATAACTTTCAATAAGGTTTACCTATTCCAATGTTTTGATGTAGAGCTTGCGAACCAAAGTATGTAAACGGACCACTCTCAAAAACAAGATTTTCACGGCCAACCGTCACTTCAACGCGTCCTTCTAGTATAAGTATAAAGTAGTCAACAGGTTTGCCTTGTTGATAAATTACGCTAACAGGGTCTGATTTAAATCTTTCCTTGTCTTTCATTTTGATGTGGAATAGCACGTCCTGTTTGAGTAGACGCATCAAAATCGTTTCAGATACAACATCCGGCTTAAATGCTTCAACACCTTTACGTATACAAAACTCATTGTATTATAAGAGCATAAACAACAATAATTAATAATGAGTATAGAAGGAGGGGGAGGGGGTTGAAAACAATTAAATAGACAGTAGTAGTTGTATATGTAGATTTGTAAATGAAAAATAAACATTTTCTCTTAGTCTTATCAATATGAAGTTTTCAATAGAAAGTATTCATTGAAAACTTAATATTTATTGACATATTGGTGGTTCCACAGCAAGAGTTTAAACGACTTGGCATATGCTATTGGATGGACACAAATTTGTTTCATGCAATGCACATTCTGTAATTATATTGTTTAGCAAAAAAATTGTATTTTTTGCAGTATTAAAATTTTCTATTTTGTAAAATAAATCAAAAGTTAATTCACACAGAGAACATATAAATAACAAAAATATACCATGAAAAAAAATTACAATTCTTACTAAAAAAAAAGTTATTATTATTGGAAGGAAAATAAATTAATAAACATAATAACAAAGTTTTTGATTCTACAGAAATATCTCTAATATCCTTTTTTTGTGTAACCATCGGTATAAGTAATTCAAAGCAAATCAAACAGTAAATTTATCATTATTGATGGTTAAATATTTGTTTTTTGATATTTTTCGTTGAATTTTTGTTATTATTGTGGTCGCGTTAGTGATAAAAAATTGAACACCAACAGGGAAACTGGGAACGCTTTACAGGTTCATACAAAGAAAAAAATATTACCGAAATGTGGTTCTAGAAATATCATGTGTAAAATTTAAATTTAAAAATATAATATGAACCCCAGTATACCGTGGTGTAGGCTGTATTAAAAAAATATTTTAAATATAAAAATAATGTGTGATTATATTATAAGATATAATAAGTTATAAGACTTCGGTATTCACTTAGTTTACTTTCAAAAAATGTTCAATGTTTAACAAGGACAGCCTACACCCCAAATTATTATTTTATATTATCAGACCCTCACAACTATCGTTAGTCATAATGTTTCAAAACATTTTATCTAAATTCTAGCCAACACATGTTTTACTTAGATGGTTTTAAAACAAAAACATATTATATCAAATGTATAGAATATACATTATGGAATAATTCTGAAGGTCGTATATTGGCGGATTTTAGGTCAATTGAAAATGGTTTTTAATATTTCCCGAACAACTTAATGTTCATAATAATTAATATATTATTCAGTGACATAATACAATAGGTATTAAGATAAATGTGTTTTTGAACAATGTCCGAGATTTTTATATCGATAAAAAAAAAAAGCGGGTTACTATTATCGTTGAACTTATCGAGCACTGGAGATACACATACACTCAACTTATTATGTTTTATTTAAATTCATCTATATTTCATATTAATCTTGAAATTTTATTACTATTACGTTATTAATTACGATATTAGATATTAGTTTTATGTTTGTTTGTTTATAGTTTTTATTAAAGGGGGCTTGTTATTAATGTCTCCCCCTTGTACTCAGCCGGCACTCACTGGACGATAAGAACTGGAATGTGGCTAATGTGAGTTGAGGAGATATATGAATGCGCTGGTTTTCGTTGCGTTCGGCAAACGCGGTAAAGTCCTGAGCTCTGTACGATCGTTGTTGACGACGTTGTTTGGAACGGTTGTCGGCTGAAAATAATTTTAATTAATAATAGTTTGCATTCAAATAATTGGCCAGACGGTGAAAAATACACACTGTAAACGTCTGTCTCGTCCATGATTTCGGCTTGAATCAGTTCTTCGATGACGTCCTCCAGAGTTATGATGCCCACTGTCTCGTAGAATGGATCACCTTCGCCTTCGTTGTTCACACGGTGAACAAACGCCATGTGACCCTTGATGCCTACACAAGACATTTTACTTTAAAATAATCCATCAAAGACATTTTTGAAAATAACTATTAGCTAACAATGGACGATTGTCGATAATTTAAATAGTCCATTTTTCAAAAAAAAAAATTATAACCCAGATTAAGAACGGCACACACCCGTTATTTTCTTCAAAACACCCGCCTTACGCGGATTAATTTTACAAAGGCTGTAATCAAAACTAAGAAACCAAATTTTTACATAATATAGACAACAACATTGTCTGTGTTCTACCATCGCTCTTTTTTTAATATTTCAACCAGTTAATAAATAATAAATTAATTAAGAAAAGACTTTTTTAAAAATGATATAGCGTTGGTTGTATTAGGTATATCGAAAAAATACGAATGCTGGAGCACAGATAATTTTGTCATACATAATATGTATGAATTTCTTTCCTTAACTATATATGAAGCCTGAGTAAAATTAATTCACGCAAAGCAGTTTTGAAGGGAAAAAGTTGTAATTTATTCTATAGAAATGACTGTGATAGTCTGACAAAATAAAACGGCAATCAACAAAGTATCCTCATAACTGTATTAACAAGTTAAGTTGCCTATACTTTACTCCTTAAAAATGGGCGGTGTAGCGTCCTCTTAAATACATATAATATTATAAGTTATAACAGATGAATCCATGACATTGCCATCATGTTTTTCTAAACTCGTAAGTCATTTATCGTTATAAACGGATATTGACTACTAAAACCGAGTTCGTAAAGTACACTCAAACAAGTCTCATTCACCATACTAAACTACAGCGCAATATGCCCAGTCAGCTAATTTCCGAAGAAGGCTTATGATCCAAAATCTTCCAGTCCCCAACTCGCGGCTCAAAAGCTGATATTCAACGGAAAACGATGTACACTAGTTCTCAAATCAATTACATTACTACCAAGTACTAAGCAGTAGTTTATCTACAATGTACCTGACTTACGTGAAACGATAGAATTTTTAGTTACAAGCTTACCTTCTTTAAACTGCTTAAAGAGTACGTCCAACGTGGTATCCTCAAACACAAAGTAACACGGGTTCTGGTAGAACTGGCACAGTGTCTTGAGCAAAGTGTTGTCGTCGGGGTCGACCAACGCCAAGTCCTTAATGTACAACATGGTTACGATGTTCTGACGGTTTCCTTCATAAACGGGTATTCTCGAGTATCCTGAAAGTAAAAACAAATCATTAGTGTTAGACTTGCCAGGTAAACTACAACAGATCGAGGGACTCGAGATCTACTCGTCGAACCTCCGGGCGGTCACTCCGAAGCTCATTAACGGAAGTACAATTGTGTACATTTACATTTAAAAAGAAAAATATGAACAAAAGCCATGAATTTATTTGTAAAAAGCCAAGATCAGATCCAAGTTTTAGACTCTACATATTGAGGCTACCACTAATTTTTTTCAACTTTTAGTTGTAACATACTGTACATACCAACACGTCAGTACCTATTTCAATATCCACGCCGACCCACAACCCTTGCCTAAATAAATAAGGACTGTAGTGAATATTACTTTATTACTTCACTGAACAAAAAACACATGTCTTAAACTATTCGCAACCTAACCTTTCGCAAAAATTCTTTATTAATAGTAAAAAAATATACATATTCTCATTAGTTTTTACTTATTTCAGATTTGAACTAAAACGTTTTATTTAAAGTATTTTAAAGGTAACAAAGAAAATCATAAAAAAAGGGTTGTATAATACTCAAAAAAAAACAGTCATTTATTAAAAAAACATTTTTTTATTAAGGCCACTGTAGAGTTAAATGTTAGTCGCAGAGAAATGTTTGTTTATACTCACACGTGTATAATTAAAAAAAATTATAAAGGTATTAGTTAAGTTTTAAAAAATGCTACAAAAAAACTATGTTAAGAGGAGATTGTGTAAAAACATTATGAAAAAAAAATGTCTTATTAACCCTATGATGAGATATTGCGTGGTTCACGATAAAACGATCATAATACATAAATCCTATAATACAGGTATTATAGGATTCCACAACATTAATTATTTCATTGCTACGAGGAGCATTTAAAAAATCTTAATTATTTCTCAAGATTGTTAAAACTGTTGTTAAAATTAATTTACCGGATTAAATTACTTAAGGCTCACAAATTAGCAAGTAGTAAAATAACTGACAATATTTTTTTCTGTGATAAATAATAACTATGATCTCATTTCAGTTAATTTAAAGATATACTAATATTTATAGTAACATTTTACACGTAATGTTATTTTAACACTGAACGCCAGGCTTTTGTAACCTAATAATTTATTTGAGTTATTTGGGCGGCTAACGAGGAAAATGTTGAATTAAATTCGTAAGTGTTATTATTCGGATTAATATCACTCTATTGACAGTTGATTATATAATACATGATAATGAAAAAAAACACATTCATAACAAATTATCATTCGCTACAATATAAACGTATACATAAAAAATACAGCGTTACAGTAAAATCATCCCACGGCTTACATTGGGCTCTAATGGTTTTTATACGGGTTGCGGCTTAGGTATATATTTGGTAAAAAAAACCAAGGATTTATAAAGGTTTCGGGGTTTTAGGATTTTAAGGGTCCAGGGAACAAATCCTTGCAACCGGGTTTCTATGTAATAACAGACAAGTAATTGTTTCCATGCGTTGTTACTTGCTACTTTTAAAATTACTTTAAAGATAATAATCACTTTATGCAGCGAGAGAGATATTGAAAAACAAGCAGTTGTCAATGTAAAAATCTCAGCAATAATACATAATGTAATATCTTTTAAATTGTATAAAAGTATTTTAATTACGAGTCCTTGTATCCTGAGATTATGACGATAAGTAAATCATATCCATAATTGTTTTTACGATAAAAACGAAAATGTTGTAAGAAATTATATCACCGATTGTGCTTGAGCGCCATAAGACAGAAAAGTAAACCTAATCTCATGTCTTAAGTGTAGGCGTATTTATTGGTGTCGTCAATTATTATTGTTGTTGTAATGAATTTTATTGAAAAGCGAAGGCGCGTGTATTTTGCAGGAAAACATCAATGGGCCCAACTGTTATGCCTAGAAAAATAAATTGCTCGCGCGCTCATCAAAATATGTTATATTTTTAGTAGCCACCGCCCAGTTTTCTGGACCCGTGCCCGGTAGCGTCTCAAAACCGATTGAAATTTGTTTCACTATCCTAATAGTAGTCTACACCCAGACGAGCGCATGTCGCGACGCCGGCGATATTATAAGTAAAGAGAAGGGAGACAAAAAATATAACAAAAATAAATAAGTAATTCTAAATATAATATTCCGTAAGTAATATATTCGAAAAATAGTAAAAAAAATCCGCTTCAGAACTCGGGTGCACCTGCAAAACTCGCATAAATATAGAAACTGGTCAGGCGTTCGCAGTCACCGGCGGTTGCCAAAATTCGACGGTTTGTACACACACAATTGTTAATTATTTTGAAAAGCATTAGAGTAAGATTCTGATAGATAGGCACAAACAAAAAAATATAATATCTATATCATAGGTGTTAGGTGTGTACGTAAATGTAACATAAATTTGTACTCTTTTCAAACCGCCAAAAGGCAGTTTTTAAATATATGTCATTGTTATGTATAATAATTATAATAATAATAAATCACACATTATAAAATATAAAAGGACCGCAAAGAACAAACGTTTGTCCTATACAGTGAACGTCTATTGCAATCGACTCCTTCGTACATACATTTTTAAGTTTGGCATTCCAACAATTTTTGATTACCCGACAAAAACACAAGTGTACGGTTTTGTTCGAAATGTGGGAACTAGTGGGTTTTTATTAGTGATTATTTTCAGAGGGCATAATACAACTCTAGAAACTATTCCACATGAATGTCGACTATTGAGAAGTTGCAATAAATTAACATTTCGGATTTTTTATCGTACACTAAAACAAATCATATTAAATATAAAAAACAACAACCTAGCAGATAGTATGCTGGGACATGTAATTTTTTTCACGTTTAACGTCTATTTTAATCCCTACAAATTGAGGTTCAGACGGTTTATTGGATTCGGTAGTTTTTTGGGGTTTAAAGATGGCTGCCCACTTTAAGCTTACCAAACAAATTTCAAGTTTGGCATCCAAGACAGACAGGTGGTCATTTCTCCCCCAGACAGTCGCTCTCCCGAAAGAAAAAGCTGTCAATGGCCGAGATTTGACAGTGCGTTATAACACTGTCTCCTTATCTCACTCTGCCATGCACCTTCCTACGTTGGGACCTATAACATATAGTTTCTATCAATTACAACGATTTTTTTAACACATGTTCAAGAATATTCTCCATTTTCTATGAACAGAATAATTAATAAATAATTATGTAAAAATGTCAAGTGTTAACAATAATAGTAATAACACTGCAAGTAATAATTATAATTTTTTACTTGTTCAAATAATATACAATAGAATAGAAAACACCTAGACATATAATGATATAAGATCTTGGAACGTAACAAAACATAATATTCGTTTTGCTTCTTCAAAGCTGCGGTTGCCTAGACAATTTTACCGAAACTCAATCCATATGGGTTCTCATTGAAAATAGAATAGCTCGGCTTTCTTATTTAATTTATGTAATTAAATGTTGTTTACGAACTGAAATTGAGTAAATAGTAAATACGTTGTATGTTTGAAAAATAATTGTCCACTCATTTAGCGATGGGGGTACCCTTATAAGTTATAACAGTCAATATCCGAATTACTACAATTAAATCATTAGTTTTTGCGATATGGATCAGACGTTATATCGCGATAAGTTAATTGACATTAATTGTTGTATAATAATATGTATATGTGCTTACTACTTTTCTACAAATTGACTAAACTTCTTGTTTAGTGCATTTCCTTGTTCACTTTGAATTTATAAAAATAATTGTATTATTCACTTTAAACTATTTGATAATGACGCGTTCGACACCAAGTCATACTTGTTTTTCTGTTTTACACACCATTCAATAGAATATTACTTACCGGACTTCATAATTTCTGAAACAGTCTCAAAGTCCAACACGGTATCGTAGGACAACATGTACACATCCTCCAATTTAGTCATGACGTCGTTAACCTTCTTGCGATGCAACTCTAATGCGCCAGATATAATATTTACTTCGTCCTTTTCCAAATCGTTGAACTCATCGCCGGTCATCTGCACAAAAAAAAAAAGCAAACTTTTAGCAAACATATCATTTTGGATACTGTTAAGTCATATAGCAAAAACCTTAACGATTTGGTAAGTCGGCGATTCATAAATATATGTCTTAAATTGTACATTGATTTTTTTATTGGTATTGTTTACAATCTGTATTATTATATACAATAAGTAAAAACTGAACGACATAAGTGAAGGGGCTATTGTACGTACAATTTTTGTTACTATTTCTTAAAAAAAAAATGTTTTTTTTTAGTGTACACAATTTATACAATCACAGGTATAATGACTACCTATGCTAATTTTGATCTGAGCGCACGGCAGTGCACCGGCCAAGTTCTAACAATGCCAGTGTATCTTTACACGAAGCAATTCACCTGTTAGGTTTTTGTTGGGGTTATAGTAACATGTTAGGTTTGAGTAAGAAGCCGCCCACAGACGACACTTCACGGGAATTTTATACTATTTTTTTCGTTTGGTTACTGTTGTAGTAAGTCTCGGCACCACTTACGTTTTAGTCTTTTAATGGGGTTTCCTGGCATACTAGATAACGCTAGGTCCTAGCTAGAATTAAAAAAATTAGGTCCAGGAATTAATTAATTTAGCTAAAAATGTTTCAAATAAAATTGTTACTATTTTAAAAGTAAAAATTCGTTTTTTATTAGATATAATAATATTTATAAAAAGGTTTTTAGCTAAAGCAATGATTTTAAATTGAAAATTATCGTTTCATGATATTTTGAAAGCGCTATTATGTATACTATTTGTTAAGAATTGGGTATTTATAGTGTATAAAAAAACATTTGGTATGCACTGTTTATGGTTGTTATTTTAATATTTTGTAATAATAATTATTATAAATGAAAATGATTATTTCCTATTATAGAATCGCAGTTAATATTTGTATTTTTATCAATATTCCTAGTCATCTTAATGTACAGTAGGGTGTACTGTATCTGCTATTTACCTACTGTCTATTATGTATTCATATTTTTTTTGTTAACTAATTAGTTTTTTCCAATCTAAATTGAAAATTAATTTAAAAAAAAAAGGAAATCTCCGTTTTATTTATGATTAATGATAGTTTTTAATAAATGGGTTTAAACGACATTTTATTATGACCTGCGTGATGATATCCCGTACTATAATACATACATACTACTTTGTAATGTTTGCCAAACATTAAACACAATTTTTTCCAATTAAAGTGTACGTAATTGTTAACAACCACACAAACGACAAAAGCGTCAGCATGGCGTAATTCGAGGGGTGCTTGGGTGTGCTTAGCATCCACAAAATTGTTGACGTTTTTACATTGGATGGGGGCTTTATATTATTTTCGGTAGTCAAGTACACTCAAGTTTTTAAGCGAATTTTCACCCCTAGGCGCCAGTATAATTTTGACTGAGTTTTGTTGTCGAGTCCAACGGTGGAGTTGTCGTATACGATTTTATAAATAATAATCCTATTCGGATAAGTAGGTCTCCGAGCCACAGCACTATTATTGTCGGTAATATGCTTTTGATATTCAGTGTTTTTTTTTTAGCACCATAATAAAATCTAAAAAGCTAAACCTTAACCTGGCTTTCTCGAACACAATTATTTACAGCAACATCATCAGTGAACGTCAAGAGACCCCTTGCTAAACACCTTCGGTCAGATCGACAAACGGTATCACAAACTTTCGACTATTCCTGCCAAGTTTGTAATTTAGCCGTCATGAACATACTCGACCTGTGCCGAACACATATCACAACACGGTTGTGGTCATTAAACGGTATATGCGAAAACGGCAGCGTGGTCGACAGATCAATAACGAGGCGAAATGGGGCGCCCCCGCAAGGTACACCGTACGCGAATGCATGCCTGCCCGGCGGATGATATTATACCAGTATTTACACTATCTCACTGCAAAACAGGTACAAAATATTTATTGAAATTAACTCATTCCCGGCCAAACGGCCTTTGACAAAACGACCAGCCGCATAATAGCGTTAACGCGCACTAAACGGAAAGCACCTGTTGTTTTCCCATAGACACCATAATAATTCATATCCAATTTTTATTAAAACCCTTACTCATTGAAATTGGCCTTCGGTCGACACGATAAAATACGGTTTACTAACAATTTCTATGCACGATTACGTCAAGGCGGTCACTGTTTTTTTTCTAAAAACCATAAAATCGAATGGATAGCAAAAATAGATTTTATGTAGGTTTTTGACGTTTTTTTTAAAATTATATAAATACACACCATGTCTTGAGATTTCTACATATTGCATAATTCCACGTCTACTATTCGTAGGTACACGTTAATATCATAGCAACTGAAATTCTAGGTCTTAATGGCTGAAGAACTTCGTGTAGGAATGAAAAATAAAGAACATTTCCGGCGAGTAAATAGTAAAAAAAAATTATATTTTCTATGTTTTATACATATAAAATGTACAAGATTAATTTTTTTAATTTTTTGTGAACCAAATTGGTATGTTAAAAAATATGGCTAACTTTTCTACTTTTGGCCAATAGTTTACTTATGATAAAATATGTTTGATCTATGTATACAGTATAAGACTACAAATGAAGAGGAGTAAGTCTAGACATAAAAAAACGTATAAAATCAATATTTTCTCGGCTACGCCTTATAATAAAACATTAGAATATGATAATATGTAAAAAAAATTAGACTTTTTATTTTAGCTGTTAAAAATCTATACTGTTTAATATAGAACTTCGGTCTGTGTGCCCAGGTAGTCCAGTGTAGTCGGATCCCCTGCGGCCCATAATACTGTATATAAATTATAGATATATTGTATAGTTATTAGTTTGTTTTATTTAAAATACATATATACTGTAGCTGTAAGTGCATACTTGAGAGTCAAGCCATTGAAGGGTACGACTGCTAGTTTAAGGACTTGAGCTTTTTGGGCGATATATTAAGTTAATAAGAGAGTTAATAGAGAGACTTAAGGTTTATTGTGGTGCAGACACGGTCTAGTCATTCATTTTCAATAGGATCCACTTGTTTAACCCTATCGACGCGGCCTAGTCCAAGGTCTAGTTTTATTTTTCAGGCAGAGGGTGAGAACTTAAACACAGATAATTCTTCATATCCTTTCGACAGTTAATCGAACTTACCATTAGCGGTCCGCCTCAGCTACCATTTAACGTTACGAATAAAATCGATAGAACATTTCGACTATATTGTCAATACCAAAAGCATATAAAGCAATACCTTAGGTATATAATAAACAACTTGGCGCGTAAAACATTTTAGTTATTGTGTCTTATGGAAGTCTTGCCGAAGATCCGGTATGACACGGAAAGTGGGTGCTAAATTCGAAAGAGGCCGGCGAGATGCATTAGTGTGTATAATGCATATATATTGCGAGGTCGGACCCGTACCGTTATAATGATTTTAAGCTTAAAGGATAGGCGTGAAATGACGGCATGTAAATAATATAAAGGCGAACTGTTTGTTTAGGCCTCGACTGAAATCTAAACGTCGCCTAGTGCTGTGCACGAATTAGCAGAAATGGACTTACACAGCTCAGGGTTTGTATGAATACTAGTTGGTCGACGCGACACACATATTGTGATGAATAGCGGGTAAATGCACTTGAGGGTGACACGCTTGTTTCGCGACGGGGTGTACAAATGGGGAAAACACATAAGACACTGGTCATCGCACGCATTTAGAAGGAATAGAATAACGCGAATCATACGTCTTTAGGCTATAACGCCACATACTATATTTATATTTGTAAAAATTTAAACCCTTGGTCTCATTGATATTATCGTCTAATTGACACCCATTTGCTACATGCAATAAACTAATCACGCGGAATAGAAAAAAATACATATACAATTATATACATATAATTAATCAAGTAGTACCTAAACGGCAATGCTAGGATAATTAATGCGTTACGCGTTAACCGTTTGTGCAATACTGCCTCGGTTGACCCACCGGAGGTCATATTGATAAATACAACTTCAGAAGGCATCATCAATAGCAATTACTAAAGGTCGGATAGAAGTTAATTAAAGTGGATATTTACCTTTGTGAGTATGAAGCGACCGGTCAGAGTGACGTCCCATCGACGTTTGCAAAATGAAAAGGTACCCGTTTGTCATAAAATCTAATAGGGTCTCCACCCTAAATATAAACATATACATTGTGTACCTCCGTCATTCGATTTTCCCAGGCAATTATATATCCCCATTGCTTTCCCTCCGGTTTCACTTTTCTCATCACGCTGCCGTTCTTGGCAGACCATCCGAAACGAAACGTTTAGTCCTATGCGTGTCATGCGATCAACCCCCAAGGAATTACATCCAAAACCGAAAAGGAGCTTCTACCCCTCCCCTCGTAATTCACTCCCCTTACTCTTCCACACTGTTCAATTTGTGCATTGACGTACCAACGACTTAACGTCGAACACGTATCGCAACGTCGTAATGATAACAGTTTTTTGTTTTTATTTTAATAAATTGGGTCATGAATATATATTATATCGCCTTTCACGCTACACATTACACACTAACTCAGTCTTTTCTCTTCTCTGCTCCACCTCATATACAATTATCGCTATCCCATCCCCTTCTCTCTTTCTCCTTTGTCATTAAAGCGTCACGCAAATTTTCGACAGCGATAAAACATGCTCATGTCAAAATAATTGTAACCATGGAAAATAAACACGGTTATCACAACTCAGGCCTTTCCCCCAGAGAGGGTTAATGAAATCTATGATTGCGAGGCTCGGTCCATAAGCTCGAGTAATTAAAGACTCTAGAGATTAGGGAGGGGGTAAAGTCCGGTTGGTTACTACATTTTGATAGAATGGGAGCGGGGATATGATTAAGTATTAACAGGTATCTAAGCCCTCTAAGGCACCCTTTTAGCCTAAAGCCTGGTTTTAAGTAATTTAAATTTAGCTATACCTTTTAAAGTCAACTTGCATTTGTTAGAAATAATTGAAAAACGTATTAATGGA